TTGAAATTTGAAGATGTCGTGAGTATGATCCTGACCGAGGAAATAAGAAGACAGTCAGAAGGTGTTTCCACTTCTGGAGCCGCTTTGAATGTGGAGAGCAGAGGCAGAAGTTCAAACAGAGGTAAAGGGCATTACAGGAGCAAGTCAAGGTTTGGTAGATCAAAATCCAGAAATCCAAAGAATTCCAACAAATCAAAAGTTGTTGAATGTTGGAATTGTGGCAAGATCGGACACTACAAAAATCAGTGTCAAGTTTCCAAGAAAGAAAATGAAAACAAAATCGAGGCCAATGTTGTAGCAGAAGAATCTGATGATGCTTTGATATGCTCTTTGGAAAGCAAAGCAGAATACTGGGTAATAGATTCTGGAGCATCTTTTCATGCTACTTCAAATATAGAACTCTTTACGAGTTATGAGTTGGGCAATCTTGGAAAAGTGTATCTTGGTGATGATCAACCATGTGACGTAGTCGGAAAAGGCAAAGTACAGATCAAGTTTAATGGATCTATATGAAAATTGAAGGATGTCAGAAATATTCCAGACTTGAGGAAGAACTTAATATCTGTAGGCTAACTATCAAATGAGGGTTATGTCACAACCTTCAACGGTGATATTTGGAAGGTTTCCAGGGGTACAATGACCATAGCACAAGGCAAGAAAAGTGGTACTCTTTACACCACAATGAGTGCTTGCGGAATAATTGCAGTTGCTGATTCAAATGAAGATCCGAATCTATGGCACAAGAGACTGGGGCATATAAGTCAGAAAGGACTCAAGTACATGCATGACAAAGGGAAACTACCAGGACTTCAATCTATTGATGCAGACCTATGTGAGAGTTTCATCTTCAGGAAGCAGAAGCGAGTGAGTTTCAACAAGTGTGGCAAAACTCCGAAGCAGGAAAAGCTATAGTTAGTCCACACAGATGTCTGGGGACCAGCTGCAGTTCCATCTATTGGCAGAAAGTCTTATTTTGTGACTTTCATTGATGATTACTCCAGAAAAGTATGGGTCTACTTCTTGAGACACAAATCCAAAGTGTTCGAGATGTTCAAGAAGTGGAAAGCTATGGTGGAGAATGAAACAGGTTTGCGAGAAAAGAAATTGAGATCAGATAATGGCGGAGAGTACGAACATACTGATTTCAAAAAGTTTTGTTACCAGAGTGGTATCAAACTGGAAAGGACGTTGCCAGGAACACCGCAACAAAATGGTGTGGCCGAACGAATGAACCGGACGTTGACAGAGAGAGCCAGAAGCATGCGGTTACATGCTGGCTTGCCTAAACAATTTTGGGCCAAAGCTATCAACATAGCAGCATACTTAATCAATCGCGGGCCATCAGTGCCTTTAGAGTACAGGATACCGGAGGAAGTATGGAGCGGAAAAGAAATAAAACTTTCTCATTTGAAAGTTTTTTGTTGTGTCGCATATGTACATATTAGTGTTCAAGCTAGGGGTAAGATTGATCCCAAATCACTAAAGTGTACATTCATTGGATATGGTAGAGATGAGTTCGGGTATCGCTTTTGGGATGATAAGAACAAAAAGGTCATCAGAAGTCGGGATGTCATATTCGATGAAAGGGTGATTACAAGGATAGAGATACAGCGCAGTCCAGTGACATACATGATAATCCAACATATGTTGAGTTGGATGATACTCCAAGTAGTAGTATGTCAAAGCAGACAGATGAAATTCCTCAGCCAGAGGAAGCTGTTGCAGAGACTTTACCTCCAACTCCTATTCCTAGAAGATCTTCCCGACCACATGTTCTAAATAGAAAGTACATAAATTATTTATTACTTACTGATGCCGATGAACCTGAATGCTATGATGAGGCATGTCAGGGAGAGGATGCAATTAAGTGGGAGCTTGCAATGAAAGATGAGATAACGTCTCTTATCTCTAATCAAACGTGGGAGCTAGTTGAGTTACCTGCAGAAAAGAAAGCCCTACACAATAAATGGGTCTATCGAGTTAAGGAGGAACATGACGGATCAAAGCGATACAAGGCGAGATTGGTGGTCAAAGGCTTTCAACAGAAAGAAGGAATTGACTACACAGAGATTTATTCTCTAGTAGTAAACCTGACAACAATTCAATCAGTCTTGAGTATTGTTGCAGCAGAGGGGCTGCACTTAGAGCAGTTAGATGTGAAAACTGCCTTTCTCCATGGTGACCTAGATGAGGAGATATATATGCAGCAACCAGAGGGTTTCTCAATCAAAGGAAAAGAGAAGCTCTTGTGCAAATTGAAGAAAAGCTTGTATGGCCTAAAACAAGCTTCGAGGCAGTGGTACAGGAAGTTTGACAGATTTATGGAAAAATGACTATTACAAGTGCAACGCTGACCATTGTTGCTATTTTAAGAGGCTAGAGTTCAGCTACATTATTTTGCTACTTTTTGTTGACGACATGTTAGTAGCGGGACCAGACATGAACGAAATTTAGAAATTAAAGAAGCAACTGTCAACAGAATTTGAAATGAAGAACTTGGGTCCAGCTAAACAAATTCTAGGGATGAGAATTTGTAGGGACAAGCAAAAAGGCACTTTGCAGTTATCCCAAGCCAAGTACATTAGTCAATTTTTGCACAGGTTCAACATGAACAATGCAAAGGCAGCTAGCACGCCATTGGCTAATCACTTTCGTCTATCAAACGACCAGTCTCCGAAAATAGAAGATGAAAGAAACTTCATGGCTACTATTCTATACGCCTCAGCCATTGGAAGTTTAATGTATGCCATGGTCTGTACAAGACCAGACATTGCTCATGCAGTGGAAGTTGTGAGCAGATTCATGACGAATCCAGGAAAGCAACATTGGGAGGTAGTAAAGTGGATATTGAGATATCTACAGGGTACAGTTGATAAATGTTTGTATTTTAAAAGAGGTGAGTTGGCACTACAAGGCTTTGTAGATGCAGATTTTGCTGGCGAGGTCGATCACAGGAAAAGCACCACCAGTTATGTATTCACAGATGGTACTACTGCAGTGAGTTGGGTTTCTCAAAAATAGAAGGTTGTTGCTTTATCCACTGCAGAAGCAGAGTACGTGGCAGTAATCGAAGCTAGCAAAGAGATGATTTGGTTACAAGGTCTGTTGACATAATTGGGTCTCAAGCAGGAAAAGAATGTTTTGCACAGTGATAGTCAGAGTGCTATACATTTGGCAAAGAATGCAGCATTTCATTCGAGAACGAAGCACATAGGACTTCGTTATCACTTCATTAGATCTCTCTTGGAGGATGGAGTATTGACACTGGAAGAGATCTAGGGTAGTAGAAACCCAGCTAACATGTTAACCAAGGCGGTAACTACGGAAAAACTGGAGTTATGTTCAACTTCAGTTGGCCTTCTAAAATGAAGATGAGGAAGGTAATCCACACCAATTTTATTAAAAAGAAACTGCTCGCAGGATGTCTTAAGGTGAAGCCACATTAGTCTCCAAGTGGGAGATTGTTGAAAAATATGGAGCCTAAATGTTAGGCTTCACAATTTCAATAGTGTCAAATAATTGGTTTTCAAATGATGGCTGCAAATGTTGAAAAAGCAATGTGGATGGAAATATTTGTTGCAGCCATGCAGCCGCCAACCACAATATTATGAAGACTTTGGGCCATGCATTTAATGAAAGCCAATTTTGTTGAAAAATAATGGAGATGCATTTATGAGGATGGTGAGATTTTTCACTATAAATTGGGGCCAAAGCAAAGGGAAATGTGTGCCAAAACATGAGCAAAAGAGAAGTGCAAGAAAATCGTGTAGAGTGAAAAAACGAGAGATAATGAGCAAAACACAAAGTGAGAAGCAGTTAGGCTTTCGTTTGTGTAGAAAATTAACGAGAGAAAATCGAGAGATTGTCTTTGCGTAGGCAAATAAAATACAGAGAGTGTATTTGTTGTATTCCTTTTATTCTCTTGTTGATACAGTAAAAGAATTGGTGTGGGTTTGTGGACGTAGGCACGATTGCCGAACCACGTAAATTCTTGTGTCACTTGCACTTATTATTTTTGCTACATTTATTTCTTCTCAGTTTAAATTATTTTGCGTCCCACTCATCCTGGCGGAATTAGTAGCCGTCTAATTTCCTAACAGGGACAAGTTTAAGAAAGAGCTGAAAAGGCAGCTTTATCCTGAAAATGTTGTATACGAGGGGTGAGCCTCAAAGAATAAGGAAGCCCAATCCCAAGTATTTGTCCATGTTAGCCGCAGAACCAGGAGGACCAATTCAAGAGCTGCTCGAAACATCTGACCTGTTTTGATCTATTCCTTATCTTCAGGTCCAAGTAAAGGAGAACGTGGCTTGAGTTTAGGTAGAATTGTTGAGTTTGTTTAGGAATCTAAGCTATAAATAAGTGTCCTTGGACAGTAGAGTAGGCATAAAAATTCAATTGATTGTATCTGTGGTTTGTCTCCAGCCCAAATTGGAGAATTTCTATTGCAATTTTCTATTTTCAGCTTTTTTAGTTTACTGTGTTCCAACAATTCTGGTATCAGAGCCGGTTGCGAGATGGGAACCAACAAGGAAAGACTTGACAGGTTGGAGTACGAATTGCGGGAGGTGCGTGATGGCTTGCAGCGATCAGCCACCGAATCTGGGGAAACACGAGCTCAGATGCGGGGAATGGAGGACAAGCTGAAGGAGGTCCTTGACTCATTATCTGGGTTTCGTATGTCCTGGGAAAAATCATCGCAACCCCACAGCGAGAAGAGCTCTTCATCTCATGGAGGGTCCAACAAAGGGGAAGGGTCCCACCACTTCAACCACACAAGATTCACTAAGATGGACTTTCCGAAATTCTCGGGTGATGATCCTACTGAGTGGCTTAGTTGAGTCTCTCAATACTTTGAATTTCAGGAATCTGGAGAGGACCAGAAGGTTGCCTTGGCAACCTTCCACCTGGAGGGAAAAGCTAACCAATGGTGGCAATGGCTCAAGAGGGTACAAAGAGATGAAAGGATGGAGATTACCTGGAGTTTATTTGAGGCGAACTCATGACTCGTTTCGGCCCTACAGAGTACGAGTGCTTTGACGAGGCACTATCCAGAGTAAAACAAACTGGGACTCTCCGGGATTATCAGTGTGAGTTTGAAAGGTTGGCGAACAGAGTTGACTGGCCCCAATCGGCTCTAGTCGGCACTTTCCTTGGATGTCTACGTGAGGACATAGCGGTCGAAGTACGAATGGCTAAGCCGAAGACTCTACGCGATGCTATAGGGGTGGCCAGGATGAAGGATGACCAGCTCGTGAGGAAAAGAAGGCAAGCACGGGTCGAAGTGACGCGAACTATCCCGCAAACACGAATTATCACAGCTACCCCACCTGCAACAGCACCTACTGCACCAAGGCAGGTTGTTGGCTCTCCGGTTAAGCGCATATCATGGGAAGAGATGCAGCGGAGGCAAGAGAAAGCTCTGTGCTTCAATTGTAATGATCGATTCACCCATGGCCATAAATGTAAAGTGCCACAACTCTTCTTCATCGAAGGAGGAGAGGTCAAGGAAAGCGAATCTAATTCCAACTCTGGGCCAATAATTAAAGAATTAGAGCAGGAAGGTGTAGATGAGCAAGCCGAGATCACTCTCCATGCCTTTTCGGGATGGAAAGGGCCACGTACAATGAAGTTATAGGCATTTATAGGCAAACATCCAGTTACGGTGCTGGTAGACAGTGGCTCTAGTCACAATTTTGTGAGCCATCGCATTGCTCGACAACTTCATTTGCCAGTAACTTCAACAGATAATTTCAATGTGAAGATTGCAGATGGAGGCCAACTATCTTGCCAAGAGAAGCATGAGACTGTACCACTGGAGATCCAAGGTTTTTCTTTTGCTGTCACATTGTTTTCACTTCCATTACAAGGGTTAGATGTTGTACTAGGCGTGCAATGGTTGGTGGAATTGGGCCCTGTGTTGTGTGATTGGCGCAACATGACAATGAAATTTAATTGGCAAGGAAAGTCTCGCGTGCTTCATGGTCAAAAGGAATCCTCTTCAACAGTAATTACTATGCAGTCACTTGAGAAAGAAATTGGTGGTGGGGGCACCTTATTTGCGTTAGTGGTAAATGAAGTAAAAATTGATAAGGATAATGCTCCACTAGTGCCCAATGATATAGATAAAATACTGAAGGAGTTTGCTGCCATTTTTGAGGAACCACGTTCCTTGCCCCCTCCTCGAGAAGTTGACCACCAAATCCCATTGAAAGAAGGGATTTCAGCTACCAATGTGCGCCCCTACAGATATGCGCACTTCCAGAAAAATGAAATTGAGCGACAAGTGACGGAAATGCTGGAAAATGGGACCATCGCCCTAGTCGCAGCCCTTTTTCCTCGCCAGTCCTACTGGTTAAGAAAAAGGATGGGTCTTGGCGTTTTTGTACTGATTATAGGACGCTAAATGAAGCAACAATAAAGGACCGCTTTCCAATTCCAACCGTGGATGACATGATCGATGAATTACATGGAGCCAAGTATTTCACCAAGCTTGACCTTAGAGCTGGATACCATCAAATTCGAGTTCATCCTGATGATGTGCATAAGACAGCTTTTCGAACACATAGTGGACATTACGAATATCTCGTCGTGCCTTTTGGCCTTTGTAATGCGCCTTCAACATTCCAAGCCACCATGAATTCCATCTTCAAGCCGTTCTTATGTAAGTTTGTACTTGTATTTTTTGAAGATATTTTGGTGTATAGTCGCTCTTGGGAGGTGCATGTAGAACACATCAGAGTGGTTTTTAAAATTTTGCACAATCAACAATTTTTCCTTAAACGCTCTAAGTGTGCATTCGGACAAACAAAGGTGGATTATTTGGGGCACATAATTTCGAATGACGGAGTACAAGTGGATGAAAGTAAGATTGCAGCCATAAAAGAATTGGCCTAGACCCACCAACTTAACAGAGCTCAGGGGTTCCTTAGGACTTACGGGGTATTATCGTAAGTTTGTGTGTGATTACGGAATTATTGCAGCCCCTCTAACACAATTGTTGAAGAAAGGACAATTCCACTGGGATGAAAATGCAGTAAAAGCTTTTGAGATGCTCAAACTTGCTATGACTACAACACCGGTATCGGCCATTCCTAATTTTACTGAAACTTTTGTCATTGAAACTGATGCTTCAGATGTAGGTATTCGAGCTATATTGTCTCAACAAGAAAGACCAGTGGCTTTTTTGAGTAAAGCATTGGGTCCAGGAAAGAAAGCTTGGCCTATTTATTCAAAGGAGATGCTTGCTATCCTTGAAGCTATTCGATGTTGGAGACCATATCTTTTAGGTAGAAAATTTCAGATCTTAACCGACCAACGCAGCTTGCGGTATTTCTTGGAGCAACGTGTAGCCACCCCAGAGCAACAGAAATGGGCCACAAAGTTGCTACGCTACGAATATGGAATAGTATATAGGCCTGGCAAGGAGAACAGGGCAGCAGATTCACTTTCTAGGAAAGTGGGGTCACAGACTCTATTGGCAATTTCAGAGCCACAATTCGTTATATGGGATGAAATAAAAAGGGAAGCAGCTAAAAGCCCATGGGTTCAAGAAATAAGAAGTCACCTAGAATCTGATGATGAAGGGGCACAGAATTATGAATGGAGGAATGAATTATTATGGTTCAAGGGACGAGTAGCCATTCCACCAGATTCAGCCTTGATTCTATTCTACTCCAGGAGTTCCATGATACAAAAATAGGAGGCCATTCAGGAGTATTGCGGACTTGGAAGAGAATTGCCCAAGCCTTTCGTTGGAACGGACTCAAGAAAGATGTGCAGAATTATGTAGCAGCGTGCGATGTGTGCCAACGAAATAAGACTGACTCTCGATCACCAGCGGGTCTCCTTCAACCTCTTCCCGTGCCTTCACAAGTATGGGATGATATTTCTCTTGATTTCATAGATGGGTTGCCAAGCTCCAATGGAAAAAATGGCATACTGGTGGTAGTAGATCGCCTCTCAAAATATGGCCACTTCATCGCCGTGGCTCATCCATTCACGGCCAAGAAAATTGCAGAGGTGTATGTTGAAAATGTGGCTCGCCTCCACTGTGTTCCTCGAACTATTATTATGATCGTGGTGCTTTGTTTACAAGTAATCTTTGGCAGGAATTCTTTAAGTTGCAAGGGACGCAATTAAAGGTGTCGTCTGCATATCATCCCGAGACTGATGGTCAAACAGAAGTAGTGAATCGAAGCCTCCAGCAATATCTTCACTGCCTATCAAGTCAAGCACCAAAACAATGGAGTTATCAGTTACCATGGGCAGAATTCTGGTATAATACCACATTCCACCGTGCAATTGGGCCCACCTCTTTTCAGGCTTTGTATGGAAGACCTCCGCCTGTAATCACTCGTTATTTGCCGGTTGTGCAGGAAGTGGATAAAGCGCTATGTGACCGGGATGAATTGCTGCAACGCCTAAAGCAAAATTTGGAAAAGGCCAGGAACCGAATGAAGCAACAAGCAGATGCCCACCGCCGTGATGAGTCCTTTGAGGTGAATGATTGGGTTTTTCTGAAATTACAACCATTCAGATAGCAATCAGTGTTCAAACGAGCTCATCAAAAGCTTGCTAATAAATACTTTGGACCTTATAGGGTGATGGAAAAATAGGGGCTGTAGCTTACAAATTGGAGCTGCCAGAACATTCGAAAGTACACCCAGTATTCCACATATCCTGTCTTAAACGACGCATCGGAACTGGAGAAGTTTCACGGTGCACGGCACCTCCCGTTTCTGAAGATGGTTGTCTTGAGCTTGAACCAATTGCTGCCAAGGATTTTCGCTGGGTAAAGCAGGGTAACAGAATTGTAGGGGAAGCGTTGGTACAATGGAAGCATATGCCTGATGAAGAAGCCACCTGGGAATCAACCGAACGCGTGCAGAACCAATTCCCAAATTTCCACCTTGAGGACAAGGTTGAAGTTCCAGGGGCGGCGAATGGTGAGCCTCGAAGAATAAGGAAGCCCAATCCCAAGTATTTGTCCATGTTAGCCGCAGAACCAGGAGGACCAATTCAAAAGCTGCTGGAAACATCTGATCTGTTTTGATCTATTCCTTATCTTCAGGTCCAAGTAAAGGAGAACGTGGCTTGAGTTTAGGTAGAATTGTTGAGTTTGTTTAGGAATCTAAGCTATAAATAAGTGTCCTTGGACAGTAGAGTAGGCATAAAAATTGAATTGATTGTATCTGTGGTTTGTCTCCAGCCCAAATTGGAGAATTTCTATTGCAATTTTCTATTTTCAGCTTGTTTAGTTTACTTTGTTCCAACAACGAGGCCCGTAAGAAACTGCGGGAATTGAAGCACAAGAGCATCATTCGTGAATACATCAAGGAATTCACGACCCTCATGCTCCAGATTCCTAGCATGCCTGATGATGTGTTATTGTTCTATTTCTTGGATGGTTGTGCAAATTGGGTAAGACAGGAACTGCAGTGTCGGGGAATTAAGACAGTGGACGAAGCCATTGTTGTGGCGGAGTCATTAACCGAATTCCAGAGAAGTGCTGAAACGCAGGCAAAGCCAACCAAACCTGACAAGGGAAATTTTGGCAAAGGCGGGAATTAGGGAAAAAAGGAGAAGCTACGGGGCAGGCCTGCTTGGAAACCGAATTATAAGGCTGATTACAACCCCGTTGGCAAAAAACAAAGTCCTTGGCGGAAAGAGTATGATGAAAAGAAAAGGAAAGGTTGCACCACGGGGGTGTTTTGTTTGTAAAGGGCCGCATTTCATGCGAGATTGCCCCAAACTCATGTCGCTGGCTTCTATATCAGAAACACAGCAAGAAAATACAACTTGCCAGGACTCGGGGGCTGGTCAGATGGGATCACTCCACTTGTTTAATGCTCTTAATGCTAAGACCGTTCCGGGTTTGAACGGGGAGAAAGGGCTGATGTATGTGCAGAACACCATAAAAATTATAGAACAAAATTCAACCCTTATATATAAAGAACACCATCAAAAATAAAAGAACAACTTTCATATCATATAATACACAAAATCTTGCAATTAAAAGAAGGCCAGTTCATCCTTTTTTCTTTTATTTATTTATTTATTTATTTATTTATTTTTATTTTTTTGTCAGGGGAGGGGGACGGGAAGATCAAGAGGCAAGATACAAGAATTCCTTCCATTAAGGAAATGCCTTGATGGTTCCAGCAAGAGTGTCAAGGAGGATTATTGATGTTGGATTGACATTTTTGCTGTCAAATGTCTAGTGTTTTTGTTGTACCTAATTCAAGTCTAAGTTATGGTCTTTATGAGATTAAAAAGCCTAGCACAGTATGGTCATGTATAAGGTAAGGGATGCTGTCAACGGGTAAGGTGGTAGTAGGTGGAGTTTTTCCCATTAAACTTGTAAAATTGATGTACATCCGTCCGAATAATTTAGGAATGTTGATCCAAATATCACTTGCATACAAGAAAATTTATTTATTATTTTTTTGGCCGGGTGTTATTTAGTGGAGACTTATATAGCTTGATATGAAAACATATTCAATCCGATGAACAACTCCTTTGTGGCCAATCGTCCTCTAATCGAAGCTCCTCAATGGAGGGGTAAACAAAAGGAAAAGACAAGAAAGAGAAGGACCTTTTTTTACTGGTGACCAGAATTCTGGTGAATCTGAGGTGTCTACTTCAATTTTATTCTTTTATTTTTTTTGATGACAGAATTCTAGTACTCTTTTTTTTTTTTTTAATGTAATTAGTAGCTGCAAACGATGAGCATAATTATGGTGGATGATTTTTAGTGTCCGTTTTTTGCTACACAAATATTGGCTATAAGTGATACATGTTGGTTTGCTGTTAATGTAAATTACGGTTTTTTTGGGTGAATGTCATGCATATTTTTTGTTAAAAGTTCTAGCCGTTAATGGACTGATGTAGAGCAGGGCATTCTTATATGTTCAGAATGCAATGCTCATTTTTTTGCTCTTTCTTTGATTTGTATGGTTAAAATGTAGCATTCTTGATCGTCAAAGAATTCTGAAAAGTTATCGCCTACTTATTTGTAACTCAACTTTTCATTATCTGGTAATGGTAAATTGAAACTTTAAAACCGAGCGATAGAAAGATGATTCCAGCAGTAACTGTTGTTTAGAGCATCAGTAACATAGTAAAATGTACTGTACATCACTCCTTTCTCTTCCCTCCAGATTACTGTTCTATATTACGAGTTACAAGTATGCATACATGAGTCAAAAGGGAAAAGAAAAGAGGTCCTAATCCTGATTAAAATTTTGCTTGATTCGATCTCGGAGGTCGATGCAGCAGTTCAACCTTGTAATTCACAGCAGAAAGGTGTTCTCTTGAAATTGGGGTGACTGCATCCAAGAAGATTCATCATTGTTATCAATATAGCTTTGTAGAAATTGGTCGCTTCCGGTCAGGAGTGCACTTTCGGGTTCAAACCAGAATGGAGAATCCATACAGTTCCATGGCTGCTCCATGTGCAGCTGCTGTTGAAGCTGAGGGAAGGCTGCCTGTGATGACTGAAAGCTGGTTTCTGGTCCGAAATCCATAGCATCGAGATTGCTAGGAAAGCCACCTATAGAAGACACAATATCGACTGGCAATTGATTTCCAAACTCCAGCATGCCAACATTAGAATGTGAGCCCAGATTTTGTGAATCTTTTTGAGGCCAGCCTGGAAAATTAGAAGTTATAAGTCTCTCGGTAAAGATATTTCTTGATGGACATAAGAGTGGAATATACATGGACAATATAGGACAGGATGGTCTTGCTTTCAGACATAACTTCACTCGGCTAATGTTTCAAACAATTTTCTGTAATACCACTTAAAATTGCTGCAATCGGTCACAGATTGTGTCCAGATTTTGACGGCGAAAAATAGTAGTCACATGAGAGGGTAACATTTGTAAGATTTTGGACTTCCACACTTAATTCGTTTTTTACACCCCCCCTTCCCTTTGCACAGTCTCCCCCGTAAATCCCCTGTTGTGAATCAACGAAGAGAAGAAAATGTAGAAACAATAACATTTTAGTTGCTAAAGCATTTTTTTTGTTATATAAAGTGTGTCATTTGTTAATTTTCTGGAACCTGAGTCACTTGATTTACAAGATTCAATCAGGATATATACATAACTGTTAAGGGTTAATATCCCAAGTTAATTAAAGATGATGACAATACTAAAAAAGATTCACAAAATCAATTTCAGCATGAAGACCAGATCGAAGAAGCCTAGATTTTGTGACAACATAAGAGAAGTGATCAAGTCTAATAATTATTACATAAAACTGATCTCATAAGATTTAAACCTCCGATTCTTTGTGTTTTCTGTAAAATAGTTTTATATCAATATTACTAAAAATTGTAAGTTTATGCTGGGAAATTAAGATTGGTTATTTACTTATAAGAGTACTAGTGCTGAACGTCACATTCTGGGCAACGAACCATCTAAAGCGAAAACAATTCAAGCAACAAGCAACATCTATCCATGAATGAATATAGAACAAGTATATGAATTCCAGAAAGAACAGAGAAACATGACTAAAAACTAAAAAGGGGCTGGTGAAAATACCTGGTTCGATTTCTTGTTCTTTGGACCTGAGAAACTGAATCCGGTTCTTGACTTCACCCAATTTGGCATCAATCTTTTTCAGAAATTCTTCCGGATTCAAAGCCCCTTCATCACCACCCAGAACCTGCTTCTTGTTACAACCCCTATCATCATATTGTTGCTTCCGCTTTTTATTACTAGACCCGTTTTGGTACAAATTGATCACCTCCTGCACTTCACTACGATTCTCCGGCCAAGAATCAATCTGTCCATCGGGGCCTAAAATCACTGCGCAGGCTTTCACATCACATAAAGTTGACAATTCCATAGTCTTCCTCTTTATGCATTCTTTTCTCCTCAGGAATGCTTTTTTCTTGGCCTTCAACACATCAGCATCCGCCATGTAATCTTTCAAGAGGAGAAAATTGAAACCGAAACCGAGAGAATTGAAGAGACGTTGTGTTCAAAGGCGGGAATTGAAATTAGTTGTTGTGTGTTCGAGACGAGGGCTTTCTTTTATAAGAGGGGGAGCGGAGAACTGAGCCGTTGGGAAAAAGGCGGGAGGCGAGCAATGAAATTGATATTTGAAAATTGAAACTACTAGGTTGAAGTTTAAGGCGGTTCTAATTGTTGGGGAGTAAAATTGCAATTTCCTTCATATCAAATTTGGCCCTGTTTGTCCTCATTCTCTAAAAAATTATTTTTCGCCAAACTCATTTTAATCACGTTCTTCCGATAAAATAATTTTACACATAAATTTATTATTATTATTATTATTATTATTATTATTATTATTATTATTATTATTATTATTATTATTATTATTTTACATACATTCTTTAAAAAATCGTTGTTATAAAATTTATTTTCACAAAAAATGGGCTCAAAAACACTCTCGAGAATTCTCCTCATAATTGTTGTTTAACGAAGTAATATTGACTAATCAAGAAAAAGAGTTGGTTATCGTGCAATTAAGTAACCAAGATTAGAATTTGATTATACACACACGAGAAAGTGAGACACGTGACAATATAGCAAAAGAAGGAAGATTTTGGTAGAAACGTTTTCCATATATTTTAGTGAGATCAAGCCAAATGAACAGGCTCCTAGTTTCAATCCCTAATTGACAACGTTTTGTATATTTTTTAACATTTTATGAGAATTCGCAAGTGTCTGTCTGCTTAAAAATTTGTTATTAAGCTTATTTGACCGATTTTGAAGATAGGAGGTAGAGAGAGGCGAAAGAGAGAACTAGAAAAACGGGACATGTGTGATTTGGATTAATATTCTAATTTTGTGTGCGAAAAAGTGGTGAGGTAAATGAAAACTTTTATTGAGTATTTTTTTTTAAAAAAATTATTAAAGCTTATGTTTGGCTCTTTTTCAAAATTCATTTTCAATTACATATTTTATAGGATCCATAATTTTTTTCATTTTTTCCGTCATACATTTTGTCATACTTCTATCAAAATTTAATAAAATATGATTTTTAGCTAAACCAAACAGGAGCAAAGTCTCTTCTTCCTTGGTTGTACGTGGTTTGTTGAACAACATTTAATTATTTCGTGTCTTTTTTATTCATTTTGTGTTTCGTACCTTTTTGGATTAATTTTTTTCCATCAGTGGTATCAAAGCTCGATGTTCAAAATTTGGGATTGCCGTGACGATGATGAAAAGATTCAAATATGAGTTGGCGCATTTTGAAGGGAAGAATAATTTTAGCATTTGGCAAGTACATTGAAAATATTCTTGTACGACGTGGACTTTATGAGATTTTAAAAGGTAAGAGTCTAAAAAGGATGAAAGCTGCAAGAGTTAGAAGCAATGGCAATCAATACGATTAGATTGTCTCTAGCTCGCGTGGTAAAGTATAGTATTCTAAATGTGATATCACCTTCTAAGTTATGAAAAAAGTCAGAAGATTTGTATGTCTAAATTACTCAAATATAGGTTATGAGCCTGTTTGGGAGTGATTTTTTCTCTCAAAAAAATGATTTTTTTGATCGTTATTTCACTATTTCAACAGTCATATTTGATTAATTCTTTTACATGTGGACCCCACTTTTTCCCTAACGGTCAAAAAATCAATTTTCAAAATCACTCTCAAACAGGCTCTATAATTGAAGAAGTAATTATATAAGTTGAAGACCGATGAGGATTCGTATGTAATGGATCATCTATATAAATTTAAAAAAATGTGTAATTGAGTTACTTATTGTTGATGGTCAGATTAAGGATGAAGATAAGGCGATAAGTACATGTTTGGCTCTCATTTTATAAAATTCATTTTTTTATCACATATTTTATGGAATCTACAATTTTTATCATCTTTTTTACCCAACATATTATCATTCTTTTATCAAAATCCACTAAAAAATTTATTTTTAGCATTCTTCCGTGGTTGTATGTGGTTTGTCGGACCACATTTAATTATTACTTTTCTTTCCAATTCGTTTAGTGTTTTGTATTTTCGTTGGTTCTATGGAATCATCATCATCATCATCATCATTTCAATAGTGGCGTCAGAGCTCAATGTTCAAATTTTGGGATTGCTAGGAAGACAATGACAAGTTTCAAATTTCAGTTGGAACATTTCGAAGGGAAGAATTATTTTAATATTTGGCAAGTCACACTGAAGATATTCTCATGTAACAAGGACTTTACGAGATTCTGCAAGCTAATAGTTTAAAAGGTAATAACAAGTGTTTGCAATTTTCTCCGGCCCAAGTTGCTCCTTCAACTTAGCATTCGCCTTCTTTCACAGCTTTTCCTTCACATTCTTTACTAGCCCCACCTCTTCTTTTGCTTTCATAGCTTCCATTTTGATCTCAATAATCACACCATCGTTAGAAATTGTTATCGAGCCATTCCCCACTATATGTTTAGCATGTTCCTTATTTGATACCCTATGATTCTTGGGCTCTGATAATTGCAAATGTGAAAGCACCCTTACAGGTTACAATTTCATGACGAAGAGAGGAAAAGGAGATTAAAAATTTGTCTGATCTTCCAAACAATGGCTGCAACTACATCATCCTCGTACATGTAATAACCGACGGCGGGAAAGCTTGTTGGTGTGATGGTAGTAGGTTGCATGGGGAGTAATTGTATTTTCCATAAAAGCGAAGCCAAATTGCCGAGCCCAAAAATGATTGGTCCACAATGCCCAGTGACCCCAAACGATAGGGGAGATCTCTGATAATTCGCCAAAAATGAGTAACTTGAAAAACTAGTGTTCGTATTTTTTAAGCCGATGTTTAATCCCATTGTTTAGAAACTTATTCTTCTCAAAACTCCACACATTCTTTTAATAAAATAATTTTATACGTACACTCAAATTTTTTTCATGTTTTTTAACCATACATTCTCCGAAAAATCACTATTACAAAGTATATTCTTCCAAAAATGGGACTCAAACCAACTATGTACGTTTTCCTTCATTGACTGATTCATCCAATTGAAAGTTCTTTTAATAAGTTCTAATTTATATTGACACGAGAAACTGACATGCTTGTTTTGTAAATGGATAATGTCATTTTTAATTACATTTATTGATTTAACAATATTACTATCTATTAATGACATTTAGTCCGTGTTTGGTTTAGAAAAAAATCAATTTTTTTTTTTTTTTTTGGATTTTGATAAAAGTTAATAAAAATAGCTAAAAAAAGTTGATAAAAATTATGAATATCATAAAACGTACAATTAAAAATGATTTTAAAAAAAATGGGGTCAAAGAGGGACTAAATGAACTTTAATAAAAAATCTATAATATCAATAAATTATGGACCAAACTTATTTGTTCTCCAATTTACCAAAATATAAAGTTTTATAAAATACTATCTTTGTCGTGTGCAATGCAAAGACTCTGTTATTTTTAAGATAATGTTAGTAGGATTAAAGAGAGAGATGTGCATTGAATGAGGTTAGCTAAATAAACTCAATTTGACAAAGTAAAATTCACACATGATTTCACCCATAAGATACAATTATGAAGCATCTGAAGAGTGACGAAATAAAGAAAACTTCAACAAGATCCATAGAGAAATTATCTTTCGAACTGGTCATGTAAAAAATAAAACAAAAAACAAAGATAACTTCAGATAAGTTTGGAAAGAAAAAAAAATTTCATCAGTATACAATCATCCTCTGTTGCATATATTTGTTCATCTCATGCTTTCTGATCTTTGTCCTACAGAAGATATGAATAGATTAATCAGCCAAAGCAGAACATAACATATTTGTGCAAGTACAATAAGGATTAAAATAAAAAGTGCACACTCTTCTTTTCCTTCTTCTTTGCTGAAATTCAATAGACCAAAATCATATCACCGGTATGAGAACTAACAAATATTGTCACATGACACTTATTTACGAATGATTGCTTAAACACCAATTTCCAAAACGTAACTTCTTTCATGTCTATAATGTTATGAATAATCCGTGAATAGCAAACTTGTTATGGAAAAAAAAGTAACACCCCAATTCAATTTGGTACATACAGGATCGATAATTAGCAGAAGTGGGCCTTGCTCCCGTCAGCATAAAGGAAAAGAACAACAATAAGAATCTCTCTAACAAAATCAACATAAAAGGCCTATATTGTCTCCTCTTTAGTTTCTAGCTCAAAACATCGCATGTTCTACATAAAAATGTCAATATGAATTGCTAGAAACTACTTACTCATTTGGCTTCAACACCGCAATATCCCCACTTGGTAATGCATACGAGTCTCCAGGTAGAGCCATTAGCATAGACTTGAGATTGCAGTGGGAGGTTTCACTATTTCTAAGTCATAATTCGGATCTCCATTGATTGGGCAGCATTGTATCAAATGCACTATATAAAAGTATTTTATCAAGTATGCATTTTAGTAGTGCATTTGTTTCATTTAAGAACTTTCATTTAGTTGAGTGTTAAAAAAAAATACCAAACTATATTTGCAGGTACACTGACATACCAAGCACCTTGCACCTGTGAAATTTGTATCCCACGGGCAGTGTTTTTCACTCGAATCCATCTCTACCTGGAGAAACAAAATGCGACTTTCAGTTTTTACAGCATACTTGTAGAAAACAAAAGTAATGAACAAACAAAAGCATTAATAGACTATAACAACAAAGAAAATTCTGATCCTCCAATCCACAAGTTCTTATCTAGCCTTGACAAGATGTCCCATTAGTATCAACTTTCATTATATAACAACAAAGAAAATAAACATAATTTTAGCAACAAAAAAAAAAACCAACAAATTTTTTTTATTTTAACAAGTACTTTACCTGTCTACCAACTTCAGCAGACAGCTCTAGTCAGAGTAAACTAACAATGGGGACAAGAATGTATGTGCTAGAAATATGTCTTGGCAATTAGCTATTTTTAAGGAAATTAAAAGGAACATCGCTTCAAAAGTAATTGACAAGGGCCAAAAGGGTACCTCAATTACCATGGACGTATATCACTTCCATTGACTCTCAAAATATTTTACCTCAGAGCTAACCCCGTGTTAAGGTACAGCAATAACGCCTGGGAGTAAGAGTTTAGTTAAAAAAAAAAAATGATTCTTGTATACTTTCTGCAGAAAATCCATGACCACAAACAGATAATAAACTAGGTGAAGAAAACACTTTTATGGACACATTACCTGGTAAAGTTGGATGTACAGTTTTAGCAAGATATTTAGTTCAAGAGGAAACTCATATTTGAAATAAATCTAGTGAAAAGAGTTGGCAAGAAGAGGACAATGTGTAACAATTACCTGAGATTCTAACATCTCTTATGAATAGTAGCCAACAAAATAATCATCTAGAATACTAATTAAAGTCCTACAAGGAAAACATAACCAACTGGGCATCAAGAGAAAAAAATAAGAGCAACCTACAATATCCAGTAGCGCCCATAGAAGAAGACTTTGGTCGACTGCAAAATGAAGTGCTTGATTCTGTAACTGCCATGCAGAACCAGGTGAAGGTATTGTCAACTTTGATTGACAAATGAGTCGGAAGCTGGATATGTACAATGACAGGCCCCAAATCAAGCTCACCTATGAGAGAAGAAAGAAAGAGCAGGATGGAGGCAAACAACGCAGCAACTAATTCAGTCTCAGTTAGTTAGTGGTTGGGGGTACTTTGGGAAAACGAGTCTTTTGTATTCAGTCAGTGAGTAGATTAGGGGTAATTTTGGAAAGAGTCTATGTTTGGGGAGGGAATAAATGTATTGGGGGGAGTAAAGGGAGGGCATTCACGTGTATAGTGGAGTCATTGGGAGAGTCCAGGCCTCTCGAAAGCCTTGGAGCTGTTCCAAATTTCATTCATAGCTTTCAATAAATCAAAATACATTTCTCATTCAATTTTATTCAGATTTCAGGCCTGAGAACATATTTATCTTCTGTCTCCTATAGCCAGAGGTTGGTAATAATCACTCCCTTTGGTGTGAACAGGTTGAGCACGAATTCGGGATTCAACTTAGCAGCTATTGGAATCTGCAGATCAGTCCAGATACCTATCAAATTGGTATCAGAGCATACATCCTGGGAAAATGACACTCACAGATCGGGTAATGGCATTAGAAGCAAGAATCGAACGAATTCAAGGAGAACTATAGGAAGGGATGGGTAATGTGAAATTGGAATTGCAGAGGGACATGGGGGAAGTGCGGGAAAAACTTGAGGCTATGATGAGGAAGTGGGATGCGTGTGAGGGCATGAGGGAGGAGAAGGTCATACTGGAAAATTCGATGGGTTCATCAGGAATTTCAGAAGAGGCACAGAAGTCCGTGGCTGAGGAAGTAAAATTCGAAGGCAAAAATAGGGTCAGCGATCAGTGGAAGGGGAAAACACGAGGTCGGAAATTGGAGTTACCAATTTTTGATGGTGATAATCCCGATGGTTGGATTTTCAGAGCTGAACGGTATTTTAACATGAATCAACTTTCGAATGGAGAGAAAATCGAAGCAGCCGCAGTGTGTTTTGAGGATGAAGCTCTAGCTTGGTTTTAGTGGGAAGACAGCAGGAGGCCAGTTAGGAGTTGGGGAGAACTAAAGCAGCTCATACTAGAGCGCTTCCGCCCGTTGCAGGAGGGAACGAACTTGGAAAAATTTCTGGCGTTGAAGCAAGAAGCGTCGGTGAGAGAATACTAGCGGGATTTTGAGATTTTGGCTGCTCCATTGACGATGGTTCCAGAAGAGGTTTTGGAGGGGAATTTCGTTGATGGGCTAAAGGCAGTAATCCGGGCTGAAATAAGGATGCTTAAGCCCAAAGGATTGGGCCACATAATGGAGTTGGCCCAACGTGTGGAGGATAGGAATGAATTCCTTAAACAGGCCCAGTTGGGTTTTAGCCCAAATAGGACTAAATTTAATTCCCCCAGTCCATCCATAAGTGCCAGCCCACGTTTCTCTTCATATCAAACACAACCCAGCAGCGTGACTTCAGCGCAGGCGACTTTCAAAAGTGCGCACGCTATCGGATCGCAGCTCCCTGCTGCAACGAGTGTGATACCGCCTTTTAAAAGGCTTACTAATGATGAGCTACAGGTAAAAAGAGAGAAGGGCTTATGTTACCGCTGCGATGAGAAGTACAGCCCCGGTCATCGCTGCCAGGATAAAGAGTTGCAGGTGCTGGTAGTACAGGAAGAAGGCGAGAGGGAGGAATCATCGGAGCTGACAGATGTTAATGAAGAGGAGGTGGTGGGTGACATGGTTGAGCTGTCCCTTAATTCAGTGGTTGGCCTAACCACTCCCAAGACTATGAAGCTAAAAGGGTTAGTTCTGGGTTAGTCAGTAGTTGTGCTTATCGACTGTGGAGCCACCCACAATTTCATTTCAGCCGAGTTAGCGAACCGACTTAAGCTTCCAACTTCTGGTACGGCCGATTACAGTGTGCTGATGGGGACGGGCCTGGCAGTTCGAAGCGGTGGGGTATGTAAGGGGGTTGTTGTTTCGCTGGATGGCATCGAAGTAGTAGATGATTTCCTTCCACTAGATCTGGGTTGTACTGACGTCATTTTGGGGATGAAGTGGCTGGGAAGCTTGGGTAAAATGCAAGTGAACTGGGGAGCTTTAACAATGCAATTTAAGTGGAAGGGAAGAAACATCTTACTGCAAGGGAATTCTAGTCTCATTAAATCACAAGTGTCGCTGAAAAGTATGATTAAGGCGTTCAAGGAGGAGAAGCCGGGGGTGTTGTTGGAACTTGGTAGCATGGGAGTAGAGAAGGAAAAAGCACCTCCCACAGCTCCTAGTGTGATCACTGACGTGCTACGAGGATATTTAGGGATGTTCCAATGGACTGGTGGACTCCCACCGTTTCGAGGACGGGATCATTCGATTGTTTTACAGTCGGGGTCTGCGCCTGTGAATGTCAGACCGTATCGTTACCCTCATTTCCAAAAAAATGAAATTGAGAGGTTAGTGAGGGAGATGCTAGCTGCAGAAATCATACAACCAAGTTCCAGTCCGTTGTCTAGTCCCATCTTGCTGGTAAAGAAGAAAGACGGAAGTTGGCGGTTTTGTGTTGATTATCGTGCCCTCAACAAAATTACAGTTCCTGACCGCTTTCCAATTCCTGTGATTGATGAAATTTTAGATGAGTTACATGGGGCCCGAATTTTCTCGAAGTTGGATTTAAAATCAGGATACATCAGATAAGGGTGAGGTCTGAGGACATTCCCAAGACGGCCTTCCGAACACATGAAGGCCACTATGAATTCTTGGTTATGCCTTTTGGGCTGACAAATGCTCCAGCAACTTTTTAGAGTTTGATGAATGAAGTGTTCAGGCCATATTTGCGAAAGTTTGTATTAGTTTTTTTTTACGACATTCTGGTTTATAGCAAGTCAATAAAGGAGCATCGTGACCACTTGGAAACCATTTTTCAGTGTCTACAAGAACACCAGTTGTATGCCAATGAGAAGAAGTGCTTGTGGGGCCAACAAAAACTTGAGTATTTGGGGCATATCATTTCGAGCGAGGGGGTAGCGGCAGATCCAGAGAAGGTTGAAGCAATGCTGAAATGGCCTCGACCCTGTACCACTAAGGAATTACGAGGATTCTTGAGCCTCACTGGTTACTATCACCGTTTTGTGAATGGATATGCTAAAATAGCTTTGCCTTTGACTGATTTGTTGAAGGCAAGTGGGTTCAACTGTAATGAGCAGGTTGAGGCAGCCTTTACCAAGCTAAAGAAGGCCATGACTGAGATACCAATTCTTGCCTTGCTAGATTTTTCTCAGGAGTTTGTAGTGGAAACAGATGCTTCGGGACATGGGCTGGGGGCGGTTTTGATGCAGAATCAGCATCCTATCGCTTACTTCAGCCGAGTGCTACCGATGAGCGCCCGAAGCAAATCAGTTTATGAACGGGAGTTGATGGCCATTGTGTTTGCTATTCAAAAGTGGCGTCATTACCTAATGGGTAGACGCTTTGTGGTAAGGACAGACCAGAGGAGCTTGAAATTCCTTCTTAAGCAGCGCATAGTAAGTGATGAGCATCAGAAGTGGCTTACCAAGCTGTTGGGGTATGACTTTGATATCCAGTACCGGCCAGGCATTGAAAATAAAGCAGCAGATGCCCTCTCAAGAGTCAAACCGACTCTAAATTTTTTAACCCTCTCTGCTCCCCGAGGGCTGCAACTCGAAGATGTTAAGAAAGAGGTAGCAGTGGATGTTGAATTGGGAAGGCTGGTGACCGCCTTACAGTCAGGACAGGTGATCAAAGCTGGGTACACGTTGACCGAGGGTATATTGCGCTATAAGGGAAGGGTGGTCTTGCCTAAACACTCTTCATTGGTCACGGTGGTACTAGCCAAATGTCACGATTCTAAGGTGGGGGGACATTCTGGCTTTCTAAAGACGTTCAAGCGGGTTGCGAGGGAGGTGCACTGGATTGGAATGAAGAAGGATGTTCGAGAGTACGTGGCTCGTTGTGCCACGTGTCAGCAAAACAAGTATGAGGCATTATCACCTATTGGACTGTTGCAGCCACTCCCCATTCTAGATTTGATTTGGTCAGATATTTCGATGGATTTCATAGAAGGGTTGCCAAAATCAGGCGGGATAGACACAATATTGGTGGTAGTGGATCGACTGAGACTGAGTAAATATGCCCACTTTATTGGGATGAAACATCCGTTCACAGCTCAAGCAGTAGCAGATGTGTTTGTCAGGGAGATTGTTCGTTTGCATGGGGTACCAAAATCTATCATTTCTGACAGAGATCGGGTTTTCATGAGTATGTTCTGGACTGCCTCTTCAAAGCACAAGGAACAACACTTAAACATAGTACGGCCTACCACTTACAGACGGATGGACAAACGGAGGTGGTAAATCGTTGCTTGGAGACATATTTGAGGTGTTTTTCCTACAACCGACCACGTAATGGGGTCAATGGTTGCCTTGGGCTGAGTATTTGTATAATACTTCATTTCACACAGCAACTAACCATACTCCTTTTCAAATTGTTTATAAGCGGGATCCCCCCTGGTGTTGCCATTCGAGAAGGGTATGACAGTCCTATCATCAGTGGAACAGTCCTTAATGACCAGGGATGAGATACTCCAGGAGCTGAAGACGCAGCTCACACGGTCTCAGCAGAGAATGAAACAGAGGGTGGACAGGCAGCGCCGTGATATTCAGTTCGAGGTGGGGGAATTGGTGTACCTCAAGCTTCGACCTTACCGGCAGAGATCTGTAGTGCATCAACCAAATGCCAAGCTATCCCCAAGGTATTTTGGACCATTTGAAGTTGAAGCACGAAT